GGTATATGAATTTTCAGTTATATTGTTTTTTTATTTAAATTTTATATAGCATAGAAAAAATATAAAATAGTAACACGGCTAATTATTTGTTTATCTTATCTAAATATATTATTAATTCAAAATAAAATAACATAGTAGAAGAGTTTTCCCAAAAAAAAAAAAAAAAAAAATTCACCCTCCTCTCAGGATCCTGAGTCTTTGGAAACGCTTGGATCCGATTGGATAGGAAATACTCAAGGGAAGGGGGTGGGCGCGGGTTAAGAACACCTTCGACGGAACCCACTTTCACCATGACAAAATGAGTTGTCGTAAGGGATGGTTAGAAAGAGAGATCCAAATTAGCTGAAACCAGAATAAGGACAGGAGAATCAAAGATTAAAGTAAAGTAAACTATGGCGAACACCGGACGAGTGAAGGCGAACTAGCGAAGTCACGCTGATTACTATCCGTCAAGAATTTAGGCTTGCAGCGTCATGTTAATTAGTTCATGGGAATTAAACTTGCGGCAGACATAGTGGATTAGTAATTTCACTTGCGATTGAAAAAATAAATTTAATAATAAAAAAAAGGGAATTTGCAAAATCATTTTAAATTATTTCAATCAATTAGTTAGTTTATCTAACAAAAGAAAAAAAAAATAATAAATAGAAAATTAAAGATCGGCAAAAAATTAAATAGTCATGATTAAATTTAATGCAACGTGTTTGATGAAAGATGAATTTTGTGAAAGTGTCTTCAATCCACCCAAAATAATTGTGTTTTTATTTTATTTTTTATTTTTTTAAAAGAGAGATTTACTTTCTTAACTTATGGCATTCAAAAATGATTTGCACCTATATAATCATTTTATTTATTCTAATTTCTATAATATCAAACTTCTATTTATAGGATATATGTAACTATAAAATTAAAAAACAATAAAAATTTGGTTTATTAACATATGACGTTAGATTATATCAAATTAAACTAAATTTAATAGTATAGTATTTATCAGTTTAATTAAAATATATTAGACCATGTGTTATTTTAACGTTACACTAAGTAGTATAGCATTTTAAAAGACAACATATTCTGACTATTTTTGTTCTTGACTAAGAAGACTAAGTGTTGAGAGATTAAAATTTTAAAATTGTTTATCAGAATTAATAATGTTAAATGTTTATATAGTAAATAATTTACTGCAGTTAGTTATTGAAAAAAGGAAATAATTCTAATAGATTATTATGAATTTTAATAATATATAATAATTAAAATTTTTATCCATTAAACACGCTATCAACATTCAAAAAATTTGATAATAAAAAGAAAATTTGGGTGCCTTTGGTTCATTGTTTTGGATATGATTTTGAGAATAATATTGGGTAATTGAATAAGGGAGTACTACGAGGTAAAATTTAAAAATTTATAAAAAAAAAGCCTTTAGGTTTACTAATTTAATTAAACACCCTAACATATAAAATGACAAAAACACTTCCACCACTCGCAATGCCAGATTCCGGCCACCACCGCTAGAATTTGACTGTAAAATTGCGTTACGACACAGACCAGTCGGATCTATGTCGTAACGCGTCGATATGACATTTTTCGATCAGATCCATCACAGATCTGGCCGAAAAAAGCTAGATCTAACGACCGCAAAGGTGGCGGTCAAAGATATGGCTATCGTTTTCGATTAACGATAGTCAAGATTTAGTCGTCGTTGACCATCAATGACGACCATTTCTTTGGCCATCAGATCGATGAATAACCAGCCAATTTTGGTCGTGGTGTAAGCTGTAGGGACAGATTTTGATTACCATCGATAGTAATTGTTGGAATCTTATAAGTATGGGTAGGTGAGAGTGTTTTGCTAATTTTTAAACTTTTTTTAGAGATATTTAATAAAATTAGTAAATTTAAAAGGTTTAAAAGTAATTAAAAAAATATATTAATATTTTTAAAATAATATGTCAAACAATACTCTAAAAATAAGATGAGAATATTGATAAAAATATTGAAACAAACGCACCCACGAATCCACGATATCCAAGCACTTGACCCTTTTGCACATTGAACACTCGCATTCATTGCTTTTTCTGTCATTCATTCAAATTTTAAAGTTATTTGTCTTCTTCTGTCAAAAAGAAATTCGTTGCTGTCCCACTATGTCTCCACCATGATTTCGTCCATCTTTGAATAAAAACAGATCAACCTTATCATCTGCTTTTATCATTCAAATAAACTGACATCATTGAAAAGATTTATCTCGGATATAGTGTTTCAATGCATTTAATGAGATAATACTGCACTAAATATAAACTAATATTGTCTTTTGTGTTTAGTACATAAAATCGTATTGTTTAATATTTAATATGTTTAGAATATTGAATTAAAATTAAAACTTGTACCAAATAATAATTAAGAACTTTAATTAGAAATTAAAAAAGTAAAGAAAAAAAGAAACTATCATTTTAAAAGTATATAAATGAATAATTCTTTTAATAAAAACTGATGCATTTTAAAATGATTAAATAGTTTTAAATTAAATAAATTAAACTCGGTAGTATGTAAATATTAGTTTGTATCAACAGCTTAGTTAATATAAATACATAGAAAATAAAAAATAAAATTTAAACAAATTGCATGAGTTTCGTCGGCTACAGGAAACTTTAGATAAGTAAAATGATCACAAAAACGAGGTTAATGAGTGAAGACAAAAGACTATCCTTGTAAGATGGGAAGATCCTATTTCGAGACAGTAGGATTATACACTTATCCCAAACACTATATTTATAATACCATTACAAATGAGATGTCATTATTATATCATCTTTCAACATATTTTTTAAAAGGTAATATTAACGATGATAGGTGGATTTGTTAAAGATAAAAAAAGATGTAGTTAGAATAATATTAATAATGTATTCTTATCTTAATCAGTATTGAGTATGGAGATATACAGGCCCATATGTATATTTACATACATTTACTTAAAAGTCTGATTAGTTAAAAGTCGTGGACAATTATTAGATGATCAGAGAAGAAGAACAAGAAGAAGAAGAAGAGAAGCGAAAGTGTAGAAGTTGAGCAGTTTTTTTTTTTAATTTTTATTTTATGGATGCCCGTCCAAACATAAGGGACGGGCGTCCATTATGAATGGACGCCCATCCAAACGTTTTGGACGGGCGTCCATTATGAATGGACGCCCATCCAAACGTTTTGGACGGGCGTCCCAAATGTTTATAAAAAATTTTATTGTATTTTATTTATGGACGGACGTCCTTTACATGGGGACGCCCATCCCTTGTATATGGACGGACGTCCATGTGAGTGAACGGCCGTCCAAATTTGATGGACGGCCGTTCACTAGAAAAAATTGTTAAAAAATCAGAAACATGTTACACGTAGGCCGGTACAAAATTTCGGTGCAAATTTTTCGGTGTCTCTAGCATTATTGTTACAAGATCACTTTAAATTATTTCAATCAATTAGTTAGTTTTTCTAACAAAAAAAATAATAATAAATAAATAAATAAAAGATTAAAGATCAACTAGCCATAATTAAATTTACTGCAACATGTTTTATGCAGTATGAATTTTGAGAAAGTATCTTCAATCTACCTAAAATAATTGAGTTTTTATTTTTCTTTTTTTTTTTTTCGAAAAAGAGAGATTCACTTTCTTAACTTATGGCATTCAAAAATGATTTGTATTTATATAATCATTTTATTGATTCTAATTTCTCTAATGTCAAAACTTTTATTTATAGGGTATATGTAATTATAAAATTAAGAAAAAATAAAAAAATTGTTTATTAACACATAACCCTAGATTATACCAAAACAAACTACATTTAATGACATAGTATTTAACAGTTTAATTAAAATATGCTAGACCATGTTAAATAACGTTAGACAACATTTTAAAAAGACAACATATTCTAATTATTTTTGTTCTTGACTAAGAAGACTAAGTATTGAGAAATTAAAATTTTAAAATTGTTTATTAGAATTAATACTATTGAATGCTATATAGTAAATAATCTACTTCAATTAGTTATTGAAAAAATGAAATAATTCTAATAGATTATTGTAGACGTAAAAATCTACCCGTACGGAAGGGGGGGTCTGATCCCGTGAGGTTGAGGCCACTAGCGATCTGCTGTACCTGCACACGTAGAGAAACACACGTGAAGCGAACGGGAAACACCGGGGTGGTGTTTGCCATAGGCACTCCGACGCTCAAGTCAGCAAGGCTGGAAGGCTAATATAGTGAGGGCTAATGAGTGAGAGATTACCGGAAGTCTAGTCGGGAACTGTGACTACGGCGGTAAAGCGAAACTCTCAAGTAAAAGCTTAGGGTGTGAAGGTGTAATGTCAATGTCCTTTGTGAGAGGGCTGGCCTCTGCTTATATAGTGATTGTCTGGTCTCCCAATCCTGGTAGAAGTAGGAGTCCTAGTGTGACTCTGATGCAAACCCTAGAAGAATTAGGGCCGTGGTAAGCCGTCTTATCTGTGTCCGGATAGGAAGGTGATTATAATTAGGAGATTGACTCCGAATAGGAAAGCGATCAGAAATAGGAAGGCGACCTTGAATAGGGGATTGATTAGGAGTAGGGAAGTGTTTTGAGGGGCTGTGGGCTCTGAATTCGCCCATGGACCTGAGAAATGGACTGGTATTAAGAGGCTCGCGCCCACGTGGTTTGGGTCGGCTGTATTTTGTACCGAAAGGGCCTAATCCGATTGGATCACATCGGGATTAGGCCTGGCTTCTTCTTCAGTGTCGGGCTCATTTTCCTATTTGGGCTAAGGACGATTTTTTACTCTAACAATTATGAATTTTCATAATATATAATAAGTAAACTTTTTATCCATTCAACACCCTATCAACATTTATAAAATTTGATAATTAAAAAGAAAATACAATATCTCAAGAATTTGACCCTTTTGCACATTGAACACTTAAAATATAAAGTCCAGTAGTTTCTTGGCAGCTCCTGGAATTTGTCGTCTCTTTAATCCCGCAAGGTAATGGCAAACATGGTGGGTCATTGAAATTATAAAGTTGGTTGTCTTCTTTTTCTTTTGTTGAAAAAAATTTATTGCCGTCCCCTTATGTCTCCACCATAATTTCGTCCAATGATGAAAGCAGTTTTCACGCGTAATTGTTAGAATACTTTAATTTCCAAATTACATTTTCTCTCTCAACTCAGCTTTATGTGCAAAGATTTACAGATACAGGGGACTTTCATTTCCTGGAGAACACCAATCCAATCGGTATGATGTTTCAACTTCAACTTCTCTTTTGGTTTTAGTTGGTTTAATTAATTAATTTCTTCTTTGTTATTACTTGCAAGAATCTGATTGAAGACTTACAGGGTCAGTTTCCATATAATTATTTATTATTTTCTGCTTTTAGTTGGTTTTATGTACTAATTCATATCTCTGAGCTCTAGTCAAGTTAACTGAAGTCTTCTTAGTGATGGTGAATTATATTGGCTTATAGAAGAAGGTAATTTCCTACCCTTTTTTGGTTTTAATCAAAATTATTGGTCTTCTACTTTGAATAATTTCATTCAATTTGCCTTTTTTCCAACTGAAATAGACAAGATCTGAGATACAATTCATTTTGAGTGTGAAATTTTACTTCAAATTCTCTTACCTAAAAGGTATTAATCAAAAACTTTTATACTAACTTTAGATATATATCCTACTTTATAAAGCTGGACTTTACGTATTGTGATTTCAGATTTTCAAGCTCAAAGAACATCATCACAGTTGGGTATGATACTTATCATCTTTAAACTTTATTATTATACCATTACAAATTATTTCATTAAAAAGTTAAAGAAAGACTACAAAAATTAATTTGTTTTGAACTTCATTATTTCAACTTTAGACTAATTACTACCCGTCAAGAATTTGGGTTGACAATTTCATTTTAATTTCTTGTTTAATCTCGTTAAAAAATGTCAATACCCCATAAAATTGAATGTTTGTTTTCTTTATTATCTTTATTCATTTCCAAGATTGACTTGTTTTACTTATTTTGTTATTGCTGCTTTTGTGGCTCCATAATACAGTTACTTGTATTTTACTTAATTATCTTTTTCTCATTTGATAGGTCAAGTTATTGGAGACATTGTGGGTCATCCATTGATAAAAACAGAGAGGTGATTGTGCAAAGATTTACAGATATCAGAGAAGTTTCATTTCAAGGAGAACACCAATTGGTATGATGTTTCAACTTCAGCTTCTCTTCTGGTTTTACTTGGTTTTTTTTTGTTATTATTTACTTGCTAACGTCTTTATGAACTTAAAGTTTGCAAGGATCTGATCAAAGAACTCAAATACACTTCATTCTGAGTGTGAAATTTTACTTCAGATTCTTTTACTTAGAAGGTATCAGTCACAAACTTTATATTGACTTTAGATATATATCCTAGTTCATAAAGCTAAACTTTGTGAATTGTGACCGCAGATTCTCAAGCTCAAATAGCATCATCATAGTTGGGTATGATGCTTATCATCTTTAAACTTCATTATTATACCACTACAAATTAATTCATTAAAAAGTTAAAGAGAGACTACAAAAATTAATTTGTTTTGAACTTCATTATTTCAACTTTAGACTAATTACTACCCGTCAAGAATTTGGGTTGGCAATTTCATTTTAATTTCTTGTTTAATCTCGTTAAAAAATATAAATACCCCATAAAATTGAATGTTTGTTTTCATTATTGTCTTTATTCATTTCCAAGATTAACTTGTTTTACTTATTTTGTTATTAATGCTTTTGTGGCTCCATAATACAGTTACTTGTATTTTACTTAATTATCTTTTTCTCATTTGATAGGTCAAGTTATTAGAGACATTGTGGGTCATCCATTGATAAAAGCATAGAGATGATTGTGCAAAGATTTATAGATACAAGAGAAGTTTCATTTCAAGGAGAACACCAATCGGTATGATGTTTCAACTTCAGCTTCTCTTCTGGTTTTACTTGGTTTTTTTTTTTGTTATTATTTACTTGCTAACGTTTTTGTAAACTTAAAGTTTGCAAGGATCTGATCGAAGATCTCAAATACATTTTATTCTGGGTGTGGAATTTTACTACAGATTCTCTTACCTAGAAGGTATCAGTCACAAACTTTATACTGACTTTAGATATGTATCCTCGTTCATAAAGCTAAACTTTGTGAATTGTAACCGCAGATTCTCAAGCTCAAATAGCATCATCACAATTGGGTATGATACTTATCATCTTTAAACTTCATTATTATACCATTACAAATTATTTCATTAAAAAGTTAAAAAAAAAGACTACAAAAATTAATGTTTTGAACTTCATTGGCTTGCTGAAGTTTATTTAGAATGTGTGGCCAGTGGCCACATGTCTAAATTAATTTTCCACATGGGTTAAAGTAGACAAAAATTTTTGTTTAGAATAATATTGCATATAGGTTTTCTCCATTACTCTAAGGATAGGGTTGAAATTTTGTTTTCTTATTACATTTGCATAATTTAAGTTAGTTTATGCGAAGAATAAAGAAAAAACTTGTGAGATGAGGTTTCTGAAAAATGATTTTTGTTAAAATGTAAGATAAGAGGCACAACAACTTATATAGTTTGAGAAGAAGAGGTAACTGTTGACTTTGTTGTCTCCTAGTTTTAGCTTATAGCTCTTAACAATTTATGATATTTGACTAATTAGTAGCTATTATTAGGATATTTTACTTGGGGTTGTGAGCTATTAGCCCTATGTAGAGGATAATATCTTCTAGTTTAATCGAGCATGATTATATAAAATATTTAAAATTCGTCATTTATTGTTTAGCAATTTATTTTTATCGTTTCACTTGCAGAATACAGGTCATAGTATTTTCTCACAGAGCATAGTTTTCTATTGTGTCAAGATATATCTTAATAGAAAAAGGTACAGAAAATGTCCTTTTTTCTTTTGTGCTTTTGAAATTTATTATAATAATTAAATATTCTTCAATAAATTATGTTTCTATGTTGAACATTTATGCTATGAATGAAAATAAAAACCTTTTGAAAATATAATAAGGAAATCTCCATGGATGTAGCTTAATGGAAAGACCTATTTTAAAACTTGTGCTTTAGAGCATCATCATGAAACCAAAATTTATCATATAGTTTAATATTTTATTATTAAATTAAAAGAAAATGTCTTAACTGAAGGTGGACCTCTTGAGCCATGGTTAACTTTGTGTAGGTTAAAAAATACAGTTAAATCTCGATAAATTAATACTCGATAAATTAGTAACTTCAATTAAATAATACTTTTGACCGGTCTTGACTTAGGACCAATATGGTAAATTAATAATTTGCTAAATTAATAAGATAATACATTAAAAGAAAAAAAACACACACAGACACACACACATAAGTACCACTTGATATATAAACTAATAATCTCCTTATACATTAAAATTATATATATGCATGACTTAATTAGGAGGCCTTTTATAAAATGAGTCAAACATTACTTGTTTCCTCTTAAAATTAATGTCTTCTTGGATTTCATCTCTAACCTTTTTTAGTGCATTAAGAACCACTAGTGTAGTATTCTCGTATTGCAAGCAAAAATTATGCACTGTAATTGTTGCTTTAAGTGCATTAACTATGAGCTATTTTGTACACCACATTAACTATACACAATATGTAATGCATTAAGTTCAATGTTTTGGAAAAAGAAAATAGAGAATGCCTCAATAAATTAATAATTTATTAATTTATACGATTACTTAATATATTGATTTGTTAATAATTTTTTATGGTCCTAATGATATTAATTTATTAAGGTTTAACTGAGTATGTATATATATCTTATGTTATTTAGAAATAAAAATTTTAATATCAGTAAGGTTAGATATGATTTTATTTCTTGGGGTGGTAATTGAGCAAACATTAACCAAGAGCAAAATAATAATAAAAGTTTTTTCCTTTTTTTTTTTTATAATTAAATTATTTAAAGGAATGATCAACAATGCTTCATAGTTTCTTTTTCCTCTTTTAACATTAATTTATATTTAATTACTTGACATCTTATTTATTTTCTTGTCTTACCTCTTTCAGATAAAGGTCTAGTCTAGTCAAAACCAGATGCTTGCGCTTTGTTGGTAGTTACTCAAAGCTTGACATTTCACGAAAATATCATTGGTTTTTATGCAAGGTATATGAATTTTCAGTTATATTGTTTTTTTATTTTTTAAATTTTATATAGCATAGAAAATATATAAAATAGTAACACGGCTAATTATTTGTTTATCTTATCTAAATTATTATTATTAATTCAAAATACAAATAACATAGTATAAGATTGCCATATTTCACTTGTTGAATATGATGAAATCTTTTATACTAATTACCTAGCATTAATCTATTCCAAAAGGGCAAAATTAATCAAACCATACTCACAAGGATTTATTGTCACATCCCCTCCCGAGTATTCCCTATCCGTCGAATCCGGGCACTCCGAGGGACTCAAGATCCCAAGAGGAGGGTGATTTCTATTTTATTTTTTTTCAAAAACAATTTATCAATTCCATTCATAAAAACTTTAATGACAGTAGTGTAACACAAAACATAGTTATGAAAATGTAAATCTTAGAAAACAATTTACAGAACAAATGTATTAGAGTGCTTCTAATGTGTATAAACATCATGCTAATGAACATATGTCTGTCAACCAACCAAATGCAATTTATAAATAAAAATAACTTTCAACCTTAAACCTGCATGAGCAAAACTTGCATTTCACGTAACACATAACTATTCCTTTAACGAAACCACACTTTCCTTACATAATTTCCTTGATTTGTATCCACTCATGCCTAGCAAGGTAAGTCACATCCTTGTACAAACTTTCCAATTACCATGGATCATTGTATTAATTTTACGAAAACCGATACACCATCATCAAAGTTGAGCAGGCATTTCTCGACACGAAACCCACTTTTGCTCACGCCAATGCCTGCCAAGTGTCCACAATTTCCACCCAATCTATACCTGCTGGATATTCATAAATTTCATCCCAACCTATACCCGCTAGATGTTCACAAGTTCCACTCATTCAGTTAATGCAACCACCACCACCACCGTCACCACTTCCACACTAGTACCAAGGTCCCTAATATAGGCAACCAACTAGCTGCTCAACTAGGCTAATACCCGTCTCGTGTAATCCGTCAAATCTCTCCTAAGGTCTATCTCGGGGTGTAATCCCACCTAGAGCTCATCAGGCGTCCGACCTGTCCCGATAGGATGCTATAGATCGTTATCGTTTGGAAGTATGGGTCATCTCAATACACGCATGAGGCTAATCATATCCCACTTAGGCCAATACCCGCCCAATAGTCTCATCAAATCCCACCCAAGCCAATACCTATTGGGTGTCATAATCCCACCCAAGCCAATACCCATTGGGTGTCATAATCCCACTCAAGCCAATACCTGCTTGTTGTAATCTCGCTTGGAGCTCGTCAGGCGTCCATACTATCCCGATAGGATGCTACCACAATGCGGTAGTATGGACCATCTCATTGCACACATGAGGCCAAATATAAATACTAGCTGATGTTTGAAGGGCACAGTACTACAGACGTGGTTACAGTCAGCATAACACTTCCATAATCCCACCTTCGAACTTCCCAACCTTCAATAATATTATAGGTCTTCATGCAAGTGTTCGAATATGGGTGACATATATTTCTTAATAAAACCATCATGTAAATACGAGTATAATATTCCAAAAGTATACCAACTTATAAAATATCAATTTACACCTCAACATTACAATTAACCCCTTTCCTGTACTCCAATAATCGCAAAACTGACAAGTTGCCCCCTTGGGAATCCTTCCACCAATTACAATCAAATACTAACCCAAAGCAAAGAAATTTAATATAAATAAACCCAATATTTCACAAATATAAAGCCAACCCAAAACACTCATTACTCACAACTTCTTAAATTTGGGCCAAGCCAATTCATCAACATAATCCACAGCCTCCTAAAGCAATCCATACCATTTTCATTTAATATCTCTAACACTCCCAATTGTAAATCAAGCAAACCAGCCCCACCAATTGGCTGGATTTGTTTCCAATCACAATCAATTCCAAATTAAGCTCATTATTCAATATCCAAAATATATAAACACATAAATTCATCATTAAGTTACAAACATAATCTACTACAGTACCCACCAAGCAAGAATGCATTTTTTTTTTCATACCAAAACACATATCATGCCACAATAAGCTTCCACGCATTACATACAACAGAAAATCAGACTTTTAGCAAGGAAATTTTGGTTTATCCACTCACCTTTTGAAGCTAAATTCTTGATCCAAAGAAAGGATTAGAATCCTCTAACCATGTCTGCGCTTGTCTTCCTTCATCCGAAATCCAATGACCTCTCCATGCAAAGGTCTCCCTATGGTAACACTCCAAAATTAAATTCATTGGACATCTTAAACACCAAAAGATTAACTTAACATCGTTTAACAAAAACTGTCTCATAACCAAACACTGATCACTCCAGGATTTTTCATAAAAATTCCATTCATCAATTTAAACCATAATTTTAATGGGGCATTCAAGATACACATATGAGGTTCCAGTAAATTATCCAAGCCATTCTAGAGTCAATAACCATTTAAAACAGAATTTTCTTTCAACCTTTTCAAAACTGCCAACTGCTTCCAGAATTGAGGTTATTGACTTGCAAAATTTATAACAATTTGACCTTTAATCGAAACCTTACGAAAATCTCCAGAATTAAACTAGATACCTACAGGATTCACCAGAATTTAAAATCATCAAATTTGGATAAGAATAGATGCATCAAATCATTTACTAAAATACTCGTTCTACAGGAAACCCAAATTCCAGAATTGTAGGGCAAACTTAAAAAATCCATAGAAATTCAATACTTCGAGTTTTTGAGTGAAACAAATTTCTAAACATTCTCAAGAAGTCTACAACAACATATCCAAAATTTCGCTTCAGTCAAAAACCCAAAACATGTAAACGATTTTCGGTATTCCAGATGGTCAGTTTTTGCACAGTAACCCTTATATAAAAAAACACATCTTTAACCAATTTTTTGCTTAGGAATCACATATATGTTCTATCCACATAACATTATTGTAATTAATCTTACCTTTTCAGTTTAATCTCATACCATTGTATTCAATCATAAACAGCACAAATCAAATTAATCAATAATCATCAAAGAGGGAAATCTCAAGCTTACCTCCCACATGCTTAATCCTCCTCTACTCCTTCCCATCACTGGAGTTTGCCTGCCGACGGCCACTTTTCCAGCAACCTTCATCGCTCTCTACTCTTCTCTCTCTCTTCTTGGTTTCATCTCTCTCCCTTCTTTTCTTCTTCCTCTCCTCTCTTTTCTTTCTTCTTGATTCTTCTCCATTTGGGTGAACAGCCCACCTATATATAAAACAATTTTCTAAAATTGTGAAACCACCTCAATGATTCTTTTATTCTTATCATGACCCTACCACATCAGTTTTTCTTGCAAAATGCCACCAGCAAAAATTTAGAAACTCACTTTTTTCCTTGAGAAAACAAAATAAATTTTATGAAATAACCCATAAAATATGGGATATTACAACCTTCCCCCGTTAAAGAAATTTCGTCTTCGAAATTTAAACACCTGATTAGAACAACTTCGGATACAGTGCACATATATCCTTCTCACACTCTCTCAAGTTGTTCCCTCTTCCGTATGATCACTACATTGAATTTCTATCCAAGGGACGGTCTTGGGGATTGCAGGTTATAGGCCCACTCGCTTCCATTGTGCCACTCTAATGTTCGCTTCATTTAGTTGGCATAACGAATATCTGGAGCCAAACCCTACAATCTTTCTTAATACATGGGCACCACATCTTGCAATTAAACTTTCCAATTTCCTTACCATCAAAATACCTTCCAATCAATATACCATCCACTCGTGTATCCACCACAAAAGGCAGTTGCACTTGACATCCCTTCCGAAAGTACTTCCTAATAGTCGCCTCTAAAATTAGACAAGAGGGAGTTACTTGGTGCTTTCCACAAAACATTGACTTTGGCATTCCTGACTTCCTAAAAAGTTACCTCCTTTGGTATGGTCTAGGCCTCTTGTTAGGTCATGGCGTATACTCGGGTCTAAATACAAGGTTGTCCCAATTCTCTCTGCCTCTCTCTTTTGCCATGACCTAGACCCTTCTTTAGGTTGGGACCTCTGTTGTCCCTTAACACAACTACTCCCTCCCTATTCACCCTACTGGACTGCCCTCTAAAATACACTTCCACTTTCAGACAATTTGGGGCACTCTCTCTTAATATGTCCAAATGGTCTGCATTGACAACAGACTGAAGTTGCACCCCAACACTACTCTTCATGGTACCTGCCACATTGTCACACAACATCCTCTGTTCCCTCTAGAGGCTCTATTGCACTACTAGTGGCCATTAAATTTCCCTTGCCTCCCACTGGCCCTAGGCCTGGCTACTGGATGTGCTAGAGAAATTACCTTCACACCTTCCCATACAGTTCTTCAGACCACCAATCCCTCAATTTCTATTACCACGTTTCTGTCTACGATTTAACGCATATTTATAATGTCTAGGACGTCTCACAACATTTTTATGATACATTTCCTTTTCTACAGCAAACAAATAAAACAGTAGTGGATGCAAAAAGTTGGTTCCAGTCCACATAACACTTCCACAATCCCAGCTCCAAAATTCCCAATCTTCAATAATATTACATGCCTTCATGCAAGTGTTCGAATATGGGTGCCATATATTATTAATAAAACCATCATGTAAATACGAGTATAATATTCCGAAGTATACCAACTTATAAAATATCAATTTACACCTCATATTTATCCCTCACATTTAGTCCCAAAGGTTTCAAACATTACAATTAGCCCCCTGCCTTAGTGCCTTACTCCAATAATCACAAAACTGACAATCTGCTCCCTTGGGAATCCTTCCACCACTTACAATCAAATACTAACCCAAAGCAAAGAAATTTGGGCCTTATGCCCCCCAAATATAAACAAACCCAATACTAATTTAATATATCTTTTCACAATTATAAACCAACCCAAAACACCCATTACTCACAGCTTCTTAAATTTGGGCCAAGCCCATCTCTTTTTATAAGCTCATCAATACTTCAATCTATCAAGAGTTTGATAAACCAACCACCAATATTTTATTCAATTTGACAACAACCCATATCCACCAAATTTACACTGCAACTCAACCGAAACCAAGAATTTCATTTCATCCCAACAATAACTCTATTCCCACCAACATTACCCTACAATTTCCTCATTCTCTATTCAAGAACAAACAAACCAGCCCTCCCCAAAATTTGGCTGGATTTTCATTTTAATAACCAATTCCACATGCAATTTCACAATTTAATTTCCAATCATCCAAATTATGCAAGTTCCCTTCCAATACATGATCCATAACCCATGATTGTGCATATCAAACACTTTATGCCAATATGAATATAACATTTTTCATAAGCCAAAATATAACCAATAATCATGATCTTGATTAAACAACATTAAGCCAATTCATCAACATAATCCACAACCTCCTATGTCAATCCATACCATTTTCATTTATTTAATATCCAACACTCCCAATCGTAAATCAAGCAAACCAATCCCACCAATTGGCTCGATTTATTTCCAATCACAATCAATTCCAAATCAAGCTCATTATACAATATCCAAAATATATAAACACATAAATTCATGATTAAGTTACAAACATAAAATCTTCAAGCCTACTAAAGAATCCACCAAGCAAGAATGCATTTTTTTTTCATCACCAAAACGCACATCAAACGCCACAATAAGCTTCCACGCATTACATAAAACAGAAAATCAGACTTTTAGCAAGGCAATTTTGGTTTATCCACTCACCTTTTGAAGCTAAATTCTTGATCCAAAGAAGCGGTCGGAATCTTGTAATGATGTATGCGCTTGTCTTCCTTTATCCGAAATCCAATGACCTCTCCATGCAAAGGTCTCCCTATGGTAACACTTCAACATTAAATTCATTGGACATCTTAAACAACAAAAGATTAACTTAACATCCTTTAACAAAAACTGTCTCATAACCGAACACTAATCACTCTAGGATTTTTCATAAAAATTTTATTCATCAGTTTAAGCCATAATTTTAATGGGGCATTCAAGACACACATATGAGGTTCCAGTAATTATCCAAGCCATTCTAGAGTCCATAACCGTTTAAAACAGAATTTTCTTTCAACCTTTTCAAAACTGCCAACTGCTTCCAGAACTGAGGTTATTGACTTGTAAAATTTATAACAATTTAACCTTCAATCTAAACCTCACGAAAACCTCCAGAATTAAAGTAGACGCCTATAGGATTCAGAAGAATTTAAAATCATCAAATTTAAAAAGGAATAGATATATCAAATCATCTACTAAACTACTCGTTTTGCAGAAACCCAAATTTAAGAATTGCAGGGCAAACTTCAAAAATCCATAGAAAATCCAATACTTCGAGTTTTTGAGTGAAACAAATTTCTAAACTCCTCAAGAAGTCTACAATAACATATCCGAAATTCAGTTTCAATTAAAAATCCAAAACAGGAAAACATTTTTCAGAATCCCAGATCGTCAGATTTTGTACAGTACCCCTTATATAAAAAATCACATCTTTAACAATTTTTTTTTGCTTAGGAATCACATACATGTTCTATCCACATAACATTATTGTAATTAATCTTCCCTTTTCAGTTTAATCTTATACCATTGCACTCAATCATAAACAACACAAATCAAATTAATCAATAGTCATCAAAGAGGGAAATCTTAAGCTTTACTCACCTCCCACATGCTTAATCCTCCTCTACGCCTTCTGGTCACCGGAGATTGCCCGCTGGCGGCCACTTTTCCAGCCATCTTCATCACTCTCTCTCTCTTCTCGGTTTCATCTCTCTCCCTTCTTTTCTTTCTTTCTTCTCGTCTTCTTTTCTCACTTTTTTTTCTTCAATTCTTTCTCTTTTCTTCCCTTTTTCTCGGTTCTTCTCCATTTGAGCGAAAAGCCCACCTTTGTATAAAACAATTTTCTAAAATTGTGAAACTACCCCAATTATTCTCTTATTCTTACGATGACCCTTCCACATCAGCTTTTCTTGCAAAAGGCCCCAAAAAATATTTAGAAACTCACATTTTTTCCCCGAGAAAACAAAATAAATTTTATAAAATAACCCATAAAATGTGGGATATTACATTCATAGTGCTTTACTGTCTATATGACCATGAAACAGAAGAAGAATATTATAGGTCTCTTTAACATTACAAATTTACTCTCCTCTTATCTCTTTTTGTGGCCTCACTAATTGTGGCCACACGCTTTCTCTCTAAGATTTTTACACATTTTTATGAGACAAAGTCATTAGGAATTAAAAACACTTATCTAGGCTAAAAATCATGTTTTGCCCAAAGTGTATTTTCTTTTCTACAGCAAACAAATAAAATAATCATGAAATATTAGAAGTTTATCTGTTCACTAATTACAATTATGTTACATGGTTCAATGTTACAAAGAAAAAGAGTAAGATCGTATGATGTATTTTATTTTTAAAATAAAAAATAAATTGTTCAAAAACTAAAAGAGATGTTATCTGAACTGCTTCCGACAAGATTAATTTTACAAATTCATATCTCTATAATTGCATTTTACACTTACTGATGAATTTTTATACTGATATAGTTTCTATTTGATAACAGATATATTGATGGAGATCGTAACTGCTATTGTATCAAAGGTTGGAGAATACCTAGTGGAGCCGACCAGAAACCAAGCCCGTTATATATTTCGTTTCAACACAATTGTTGAAGATCTTACAAAAGCAGAGCGAAACTTGAAATCGAAACAGCGTGATGTGGAGGAAGAAATCAAAGCTGCAGAAAGAAATGATGAAAAAATTAAGGCAACTGTACAAGATTGGCTATCTGATTCGGGAAAAATCATGGAAGAAGTTGAGACGTTGAAAGGAAAAATAGAAGTTAATAAAACTTGTCTTAATGGGTGGTGTCCTAATTGGGGCTCTCGACATCAGTTGGGGCGCAAAGCAACCAAGACAAGCATTCAATTGAAGGAAATTATAGATAGAGGCCAATTTGAAAGAGTGGGGTGTCGTGCTCTTCTATCAGGTGAACCTTCAGCACCTAAAGATCCTGCACATCTATCAGGTGAACCTTCAGCACCTAAAGATCCTGCACCTCTATCAGGTGAACCTTCAGCACCTAAAGATCCTGCACCTCTATCAGGTGAACCTTCATCACCTAAAGATTTTGAATTTTGCCGGTCTACGAAGGCTGCTTTTGATGGGATTATGGAGGCACTTAAAAATGATGGCACCCATATCGTTATATTGTATGGGATGGGCGGTGTGGGTAAAACAACTTTAGCAAGAGAAGTGCGTAAAACGGTCAAAGAAAAGGGCATTTTTAAGGAGGTTGTGATGGCTATTGTATCGCAAACTCCAAACTTCAGAAGTATTCAAGGTCAGCTAGCTGACTTCCTAGATTTGAAACTTACGGAGGAAACTGAAGAGGGAAGAGCTCAGAGGTTGTCTTCAAGATTGTCAAAGTCTAATAATAGCCTTGTAATCCTCGATGATGTTTGGGAAGAATTCAATTTCGAGGAAAAAATAGGTGTTCCATTGAGCAAAGGTTGCAAAATGCTTTTGACAACCCGCAACAAAAAAATATACGCTCATAGGGAGTATCAATCGTTAATTCCTCTAAATGTTTTAGAGAAACATGAAGGAGTGGCGTTACTCAAAAGGCAAGCAGGTATAGATGATGACTGTGACAACTTGAATACTTTGGCTACTCGAATTGCTAATGAATGTGACGGTTTGCCTTTAGCAATTGTAACCACCGGAAGGCACTTGAGTGGAGAGAAAAATATTGAAATGTGGGAATTTGTGTGTGAAAAACTAAAAAAGTCAAAACTGGAGGATTTATGTCATGTTAATAGTGAACAGAGAGGTGTCTATGCCAGTCTTAAGTTAAGTTATGATTATTTGAAGACAGATGAAATTAAATTCTGTTTTTTGATGTGTTCACTATTTCCTGAGGATTTTGAAATTCCTTTGGAGGATTTGGTTAGAATAGGAGTGGGGTTAGATTTGTATAAAGATGTTTCATCCATTGAAGAAGCAAGAAGGGCCTTACGTTCAATGGTTGAAACCCTGAAGGATTTGGGTTTGCTATTAGATGCTTATGGAAAAGAATTTGTGAGAATGCATGATATAGTTCGTGATGTTTGTCTATGGATAACATCAAAGGGGGAGAATATATTCATGAGCAAGATTGGCATAGATTTGACGCAGTTGACAAGGGAGAAAGGTTGGAAACAATATACAGCAATCTCCTTGTTGGAGAACAAACTAAAAGCGCTCTCTGTTAGACTGGTATGTCCTAAGCTTAAACTATTGCTATTGGGTGGTGAAAATCAACGGTCACAGTTGAAAGTTTCAGATGAATGTTTCGAAGAGATGAAAGCACTAGAAGTTGTAAGTTTAAGATATGCAGACCTTTCATTGAAATCACTTCAATTCTTGACAAATCTCAAGACTCTAGAGTTGTGTTATTGTAATTTGAGAGACATTTGTTCCCTTGCCAAGCTGAAAAAACTTGAGATTCTTAGCTTTAGAGGTTCTCGTTTTGACGAATTACCAATAGAATTGAGTGAACTTAAGGAACTAAGAATGTTGGATTTACGTGAGTGTTATCAGCTAAAAAAAATTTCTTCCGATTTACGTGGGTGTTATCGGCTAAAAAGAATTCATTCCAATTTGATACGAAGCCTTTCTCAATTAGAAGAATTATACATGGAGGACATCTTTGAAGAATGGGAGGCTGAAGAGAAGAGTATAGAAACAGGCAATGCTAGGCTTTCAGAGGTAAATTATCTACCTTGCTTGGCTGTTCTATATTTGAAAATAAATTCAAAATGCCTTCCAAAAGACTTTGCTTTCTCCGAACTTTCAAGGTATGAAATTTGTGTGAACAGAAGTTCTTATGGATATTCAGAATCATCAAAAGCTTTAAGAATTGCTAATATTGATGCAACCTTATTGACTGCATTATTTAAAGCACTATATCATAGTGTAGAACATCTTAATTTGGAACAAGTAACAGGTTGTCAAAATATCCTCCCAAGCATTGACCAAAAGGGATTGAAGAAGTTGAATACTCTTGAGGTTATACGTTGTAAAGACTTGAAATGCATGATGGATGTATCGCAAGTGGGGGAAGAAAATCCTAAGTTGCATCCAAGTTTAGCAAATTTATATTTGGAAGGGTTACCAGAATTGCAGTGTATATGGAAGGGGCCCATGTCCATTCATATTGTAAACTTCCAAAGTCTTACGGATGTTAATGTGGGATGATGCAAAAGCTTGGCTTATCTTTTCACTTTATCAATTGCCCGGAGTTTGGGGCAGTTGAAATCACTCCGTGTAACAGCTTGTGAGAGTTTGGAGTTCTTGATCAAGATAGAAGAGGGTGATAATGGCAGGGGAGAGAAAATGTTGTCAAAATTAGAAGATCTCCGAATTCACGGATGCAAGAGATTGGAATATGTTTTTCCAGTGTTTGTTGCAACAGGTCTTATGCAACTTAAAAATCTTGAAATAGAAGATACAGCAGAGTTGAAGCAAGTATTTCATGGAAAAGAAGAAAATGATGTTGCAGAGGAAGGAAAGGACATCAAGTTGCCTAATTTAAAAAAGCTAAACGTTTACAAACTTGGAAAGCTTACCAGGTTCTTTCCAGAAAATAATCATTCAAATTTGCCAGCTTTGGAGGTATGTTTTCAATTTTTATTTTTATCTCAATACAAATTATTGTCACATTTTTTTTTTTTTTTTTTTGCCTAAAATGGACGAACATGCTTGAATTTGACCAATATTAAAATAGATAGTACTTTAAGTGAGATATCAACAATGAAAAATTATATCATAATAGTAAAATCTTTATCTATTAGACCTTTAGACGGTTCATTTAGCTATACATTATTTTAAAATTTCTAACAATTATGATTTAATTTTTCAATACAACTGAAACTAATTTTATTCAGCCCCCGAGAGATTGTTAAGTCTCAAGGGCCCTAATGATTTTATTGCTTTTTAATTTTTAATTTTTGTATACTTTGTGAGTAATTTTATATTATTTTTTAAAAAGAACTAATTTAAATTTATACAATTACTTTACCCTTATATAAAATTAAATTAAATTCTAATTAACTTTTTGTTAATTAGAGTTAAAATTATTGTTAAATTTTGAAGTTTAACAATAAATTTTTTTGAAGTAAAAGTGTTATTATTATTATTAAATTAAATTAAAGATGTCCCCTTGGTGGCCATTATAACATTCAGTATTTAAAAATATAAAATTGACACAAGAAACATAATCACCATTTTCCACACGACTTCTCATGGGTAGGGGTGTTCAAAAGCGGTTAACCGAACCGGTTTTTCGGTTCGGGAAAATTCCCGAACCGAAACCGAACCGGTTTAGAGAAAACCGTTTTTCGGTTAACCGGTTTTGAACCGGTTTTCCCTTTTTTTTATAAAACTTATTTTTTTATTTTTTCTTAAATTAAATTGTAAATATAAATAATACATATCCAAATAAAAATTAGACATTCATATATACCTTGACTACTACTAACGATACATTAAAAATATTATTATTTATATTTTTTATTTAATATATAATTATAAATATTATTATTTTTTATTTAATATATATATTTATTTTTATTTTTTATAATATAATATATATATATATATATATTTTGTAAAACCGGTTCAAAAAACCGGTTTCGGTTACACGTTTTTATTTTTTCCCGAACCGTTAACCGAACCGAAAATTCGTTTTTTTGAATTTTTCGAACCGTAACCGAACCGTTTTTTCGGTTCGGTTACCGGTTCGGTTCGGTTTTTGTTTTTTTGAACCCCTACTCATGGGCACATTGGCCCATGGGCCCAACCCGACTCTGTCACAAACCCATATCCATCTTAAAGGACAAATAACTAGTGCCCAAGACTATTTTTGCTTTATTATTTTAATTAAATTAATTTTGGATCTTCCTGATTAGTCACAATGGGCCCGATTGATAATGTAATGACAACTTTATTCATAATGGTAGTGGCCTAATTGGATTCCTTTTTTACCTTATTATATTCAATAAATTTTTGGTTCAACCTCACCTCATGTTTAATGTATTATAATCTTTATTAGTATATATAAACTAGTGTAATCAACGTTCACAAATCAATGTTATTGTATTTTTTCGTAATCAAATTATGTTTGTACATGATGTCTACTAGATTATATAAATGTTGTTGACGTGTCGATCATATAAGTCATATTTTATTACTTACAATTTTTATTATTGTTATTTTGTTTCATTTTACTATAAAGAAACATATATTGCATATTGTTATAATCGTGATCTAATAAATTTTAGATCAGTGATTTGTTTTCCCCAAAAATTGTGTGATCTAAGCGTGACGATTGTAATCATCAGTTTGTTGACAAAGTTCTCACTGGATAAGACGTGCTTCTTCAAAAATTTGAAAGATTACACATGTTATTTGTGGAGCAAAAGTTGTATTTCATTGGAAGATTTAATCTTGAAAGACAACAACATGAATTATCACTTCCAAAATTAAAGAGTTTGGAGTTGGAATGTCTAGAAAACTAGAAGATTTATGTAAAGGTCCTGCTCATGTTCTAAGGTTGAGAATCTAACCACTTTAACAATAAGTAGATGTAAAAAGCTGAACGTATCTTTTCATTTACTCTTGCGAGAAGATTGGGTCATTGGAATCACTTTAGTAGAAGATTGTGAGAATTTGGAACAAGTTTTTATCTGGAGACAAATGTTGGTTTAGGAGATGAGAAAACATCAACTCACCTCCCAATTGAGAAGATAAACCTTGAAGCAGTTGCGAACCTTAAAAGCTTCTGTCCAGAAAAATATCATTTAACTTGTCCAGCTTTGGAAGAGTTCAAAATAAATGTGTTTGGGAGTATATTACGGCTTTGCAGTACGATTTTTTTTTCAAAGTGGTATGTTTTTTTATTTATTTTTATTTTTTCTGAATAAAATCAAATTTATCTTGAAGCCGTTGTCTTTATTTTTTTTTTTATTTGCAAAATAATTGAATGTGTGAATTTTGACTAATAATGGTAATAAGATTTAAAAAAAAAAAAGCATAAATTAAAATGATATTTTGACTAATGGTCTTTATTCGCGAATCTAATAAGTTTGTTTTTGTTAAATTAAATAAAAATATTTGAATACCAATTAATGCCTTTTTACTTTTATTTTATTGACCATATACATCTTTTACTTTTCAATGTTTATTTATTAATGCCTTTTCTAAGAAGTTTGATTTACTTGTATTTGGCAACATGCATGGTCAATGATTACACATGATAATTGCCATCTAACTAGAATTTCAGCTATTATAACTACAATTTCAATTTTGATATTTGTTGAGTTTGCATATTTAAAAATAGTTAAGTTAAATTATTAGAGAAGAAATTAGCATTTTCTTTATTATTAGTGTTATTATTTTTGAGAAATTATTTCATTTTATTTCAATAATAAAATAACAGATTTCGTTTATTAATTTTAGTAGTTGTTATTGTGATGTCATGGTCTCTAACTTTTTTTTAAGAGATCAAAGTATTTGTCTTTTCAGGAAAGGCGGAGTGTGGTGATGGATTATTGTATTATTCATTTGTGTGTGAAATTCTCTCTAGGATAGATTGGCTTTTTCAAAAATTTTGAAGAATTAGGCAATCAGCTTTGTGGAGTAAAAGAGGTATTCCAATTGGAAGGACAACAACATGAATTTTCACTTCCAAAATTAAAGAGTTTGGATTTGAAGCATCTGGAAGAACTAGAAGGTTTATGTAAAGGTCCTACTCATATTCTAATGTTGGAGAATCTAACCACTTTAACCATAAGCAAGTGCAAGAAGCTGAAACATATACTCTCATTTACTCTTGCTCAGGGGTTGGGTCAATTGGAATCACTTAGAGTATGTGATTGTGAGAATTTGGAACAAGTATTTTATTTGGATCATGAAAGAGAAGAGTATGTAGGTGGAGGAGATCATAAGAACATCGTGCTTCCAAAATTGAAGATTTTAGATCTACTAAGACTTGCAAAGCTAGTAAGCTTTTTTCCAGAAAAATATGATGCATGCTGTCCAGCTTTGGAAGAGTTCAGAGTAAAAGACTGTTCCAAATTTACTACAACTTTCATTGTTGAAGAGGTATGTTAAATCTTTTATCTATTAGGCCTTTACTAATTGGATAGATATTTTATGCATGAAGAGTTAGTAATATTCAATAATAATAGTTAGCACTAATTGGATAGATATTCTATGTACATTATTAAAAAATTGTTAAAATTTAAGTCTACCAATTACCACCACTCCCTTTATGGGAATAAAATTCTTCCAAGTTTAATAGAACTTATTCAGCAATAGCATATCAGACCATTCACTTAAAATTATAAATGAATCTAGTTTGTTATTGTTCAATATTTACTTTCAGCTTCTCTTAAAAATTTTGGATTTTTTAGTTAATTAAATAAAATATATAAAAGATTCTCTTACGTTTTTCTTAGTAGTTGGTAGTACGTTATAATCTATTGGCATAAATTTATCTAATAAACTTTTTATAACATTGTTTTGCAGTTTCAGAATCTGCAGGTTCTAGAGATGAGTAATTGCGTCAATTGTGAGATGGAATTCTCTCTGGGTTGAGATGTGGCTTCTTCAAAAATATTAAAGAATTAAGCATGGAAGACTGCAGAGTACTAGAACATGAATTATCATTCTCAAATCTGAAGAATTTGACCTCTTTAACAATAACCCACTTCAACAAGCTTAAACATATCTTCTCACCAACTGTTGCTCGAAATCATACGTTGCAATTGAAAGAGTTGCGCATCAGAGAATGTGCAGAATTGGAGCAAATCATTGATGTTAAAGTTAGTGAAGAAGTTGGAGCAAATCTTCTCCAAACTCTATCATACATTAGAGTGGAAAAGTGCCATAAATTAAAAAATCTGTTTCCTATCTCCATAGCTCGGGGTTTTCAACAACTGAATTTCCTAATTGTAATTGATAACTCCGAATTAGAAGAAATATTTGGAGATAATGATGTGATTGATGAGAAAGAAATCCAGTTGCCTCAACTTCAGACAATATACCTGAAAGATTTACCAAGACTCACCAACTTTTGCCATGTGGATCATCACTTCATATTTCCAGCACCACCACTTCGTCATTTGGAAGTCATAAGATGTCCACAGATAAGTACAAGATTTTCATGGGATGAAGAAAATAAAAGTGTGCATGCGGAAGCAAAGGTACTTCTATTTTTTAATTATAATTGATTAAAGATATTAAGTCAAAAGGATTTGCTCATTATTCTTCACAGTAAGGAACTTCTTTTCATACATATACTCCTTGTGTAATGCCATAGAAAGCTTAATATTACTACCTTCGCATTTGATGCTTCAGATATCTGGCTTTGCAGGCACCCATAATAAGTAGCGCCGAAGATGATAGTCAGCAAGAGCAGGAACCCAAAATAGGTAGCCAAGATGATAGTCATGAAGGGCAGGCACCTGAAAGAGGCAGTGAAGATGAAATTCATGAAGAGCAGGCACTTGAAATGGGCAGTGAAGATGATAGTCATGAAGAGACGTCTACAGATCTCATTTGCTGCAGGGGTGATTTTCGAAAATTACCTCGGTACATGAAAAATAAAGAGCTTTATTCCGATTCTCATCCAACAAAATGAAGAAAATAACACTGAAACTTAGTAACATGCTCATCATTTCTAATCAGGTAATTAAATTTATTATTCTACACATTGAATTTGTTTGAAGATGCTCCAACATAAATGTACTTGTGGTTAATTATATTTCTTTTGATGATTTTTCAGTTGGCTCCACCTAATCCAATGAAGACTAGTCTGTTTGAAGGGAAGCAGAAGAAAATTCAATTCACTGTCTTCAATTTGATGAATTTTCTAAACTGCACTTGTTATATATATTTGTTCTGTTTTAAGTCCAATATCAATTCACTTGTTATGTGAATTTTCTAATGGATTATTGACAGAGTTTATGTTTGGGTTAGTAACTGATGTATTTTGTATAATTCAGGGTGAAGTTCATTAATCAGGTGCTTAATTGTTATAATCTGGTGGATCTAATCAGTACTTCTGCTNGAGAAGATGGTATAACAATAAGTTTACTTCTTAAGAACACAAACTGTCTTGCCAGTTGCCACCAATGGTTTTGTAAAAATGTCAACATTTTGCACTTCACTAGGAACATACTAAATTCTTATCAAATTTGCTACAACTTGCTCTCTTACATAATGTGTATCAATCTCTGCCATTTGCATTTAAGCACTTGTAGCTGGGCGGGGAATTGTGTCGAACAGTTGACGGGCTACATGAGTTTGGCCTTCCTGGCATATTTTGATCAGGCGGAAACGGATTGCGGGGGTTTTGAGTTTGGGAAGTGGCGGTGAAAGGGAAAGGGGTGGCAGAAAAGTGGTGGGCAAGGCCATGGATGGATGAGTGAGTTTAGTTGGCAATTTAAGGCTTTGGTTTTCTGTTATACTTTTAAACTCGTCAAAAGGCTTTAGAATCAACAAAAAGTGCTTTTTTTTAAAGGCACTTTTTATTTATGCAGATTAGAGTAAATTCTAATAATTTTTAAATATATTAAGATTATATTTTGTGGTGGAGATTTCATACACGTGTGCAACAAGATCACTACTTTATCAAAGGAGCGGTCCGGATCCCTTATCCACTCCCCAGAAGAAAAGAGCATTTTCAAAGCTATAGATGAAGGTGGCCTGGACACCAATAGTTATCAGCAAACTTATAATAATAGAAACTGTATGTATGATATCCAATGGTCAGATATTTTTTTCTACAAATTTGCATTTGCTTCAATTCAAGCACTGAACTTCTCACATGGATTAACTTTTAAACTCTTCTGAGTTTTCATTAAACTGAGAGATGGCATCTAGCTAGATTGGAGCTTCAGGTGGCCCTATATCAACATTTTTCATTTCCATGGCTAATCCTTCCAACATCTCATCACTCTGCCGATGCTCTTGATCCTTAGATGCAATTTCTTTTACCTGATCCTCATCGAAGCTTCCCATGCTCCCAAAGCATAGAAACACAACCGACGATGGCCATTGATCATCAAGCCACTCTATAATCTCCAATTTTGTGGTGGACCCACCTGACCCGAGATCAATGCTAACGGGCGGGATGTTGGTTTCAGTTTCACCATTAGATAGACACTTTATCATATTGGATTCCAGCTCCATTTAATTTACAACAATACCCTTAACCCTTCGGAACCTCCTCGCTTGCTCAAACAGAATCATAGACCAATCTTCATCAAAGTACGCAGAAGGCAAAAGCTTGGAAGGAATTAGGTTAACGAGACTCGATACTTCCAACTCAGCATCCGAGTCTTTTAACACAGCGGTGTGCATGTTCTGATCATCATAAAGAGCCTGCACGTGAAACATCAAACCAAGAGACCCTACACTCGATGTGTAATAGATATAGCTCGAAACTCCAAGCTTATCAGCAATATCGATCATGACTGTACAGAACATGTCGAGAACGAACCCGGCGAGTCTGGGTGAGTCATCAGAGGCTGACTCGGAGTGGGAAGCTTAGAGACAACTTCTTTGACGTGGGGTTTATGAGATTCAATAAATGAAGGGAAGAATTTTCTGGGGTTGGATTCTAGAAGTGGAAGGTGATCGTTAGGAAGATGAACGAAGTTGATGTGGTTTGCTGCAGAGAGTGAATTGAGGTAGGCGTTGACTTTGGAGTCAGAAGGTAGTGTCATGACGAGGACGGTGATGGAGAGGTGGTGGTGGCGGTGGACGAGAAGCTTGGTTAGCTCCACTGTCGAGAGGAGGTGGCCGATGCCTGGTATAGGAATAAAGACGAGCTGAGCTTTCTTGTTCATTGTGTGGATGATTGATGATTCCTTTTGAGTAAAATTATATGAAGCTTTTATCGATTTACATACATAAATAATTGCAAATGATGTCAGTGCTTTGCTAGTACTGAAAACCACATATTAACAATTAGTGCTTAAAAGCATATTCAACACCACGAATCACTATACTACCACCATCACCAACATCACAGAACAACCCTTTGCAGGATTATACATTTATCACATTTAACTTCTTTTAAGGTCATTATTCATAAGGTTATAATGGTTATATAGTAAACATGGTTTTTCTGAGTTCCGCAATCTCACAATTATAACTGATTCTCACAAAAAGGGAAAATGAAACTACAAATTTTTGAATGAATTAATTCTTGTGAACATCCAAATTGCTCATCCGATTACTTTTCCAATCTTAGTCGTCCGATCAATGAACCCTTCAGGTAGCACGTCCGTCAGATTAGCATAATCAGTAGGATTACCAACTTGACCCTTCGGTGGAGGTTGACATAGGGACCACAAAAACCGATGGCCGCAATGTTCAAGCGCACAAGCGATTTCTTTCACCTGGTCCTCACTGAAGCTTCCCATGCTCCCGAGGCAAAGAAACATAATCAATGATGGCGGTTGATCATCAAGCCACTCCTTGATCTCTGTTATTGAGATGGATCCACCTGATCCTCGATCAATCTCATCACCCTCTAAATTCAAAATGGTTCCCGGTGTATACACAGGTGGGGTGTTGTTCAACTTACCATCAGAGAAAGACTCGACCGCATAGGATTCCAACTCCTTGAATGTATTTACAATAATGCCCTTTGCTTCTCTAAACCCCCTCGCTTGTTGAAATATAACAATAGTCCACTCTTTCTCTATGAACACGATAGGCAAATTCCTAACAGGAAACGGCTTAACGAGACTCGGGACAATCAACTCTGTGGCCGAGTCTTTCAACTCAGTGATGGGCTGGTTTTGCTTATCACAAAGAACTTGCAAGTGTAACTGCATACTAAGAAAAGCTGCACTGGAGATGTAGAAAATGTGGCTAGGAACTCCAAAATCATTCGCAACTTCAATCATGTCCGCACAGAACATATCGAGAACGAACTCGGCGAGTCGAGGTGAGCCACCAGAGGCTGACTCTGTCTGAATTAGCTTAGTGACTGCTTCTTTGACGAGGGGTTAATGGCTTTTGACGAATGAATCCATGAAGCTTACACGAGAAGATGATTTTGAAGGGGAAGATTGACTTCTGCGAGTTGAATGATTTTGAAGTTCGGGTTGAGTGGAGAGAGAGAGAGTGAATGAAGGTAGACGGGGAATTTGGTGTCGAAGGGAAGCTGCATGACGAGGACGGTGATGGAGAGGCGGTGGTCACAGTGGACCAGAAGCTTTGCCATCTCCACCATCGTTACAACGTGGCCGACGCCCGATGAAGGGATCAACAGTAGCTCAGCTTTCTTCATCCTTTTGTTTTGTACTTTTGTTTACTGACAAAGTTGATGGACAGTTATATACAGGACAAAGGGCTGATGAAGATGATGATATAATTACTATGCCAGTTTATGAGAAAAATATTTATTAAATAATAAAGGAATAAAAAATGTGGCCTGGTCGCCGCCGGCTTAGGCGGCGAGATCACGCTTGTAAATCAAAATAATTTTTTTAAAATTATCATCTCGACCGTCCATATCTGAAGGCATTGAGTTATTATTGTGCCTGCCCCTGTCACGGGGCGAGTGGGCCAAGATAAACACACGTCCCTGTTTCAGTGAACTCGATAACTGACTCATCATAAATGTGGTGTTGTTTAATGGTTCAATTATCATTGTAGTGCTTTTTCATTTGTAGTGAAAGATTTGTTTAGGAAAATAATAGAATTAACAATAGAGTGTACTGAATTTATATATCGAATAATATGATATAATTTATATTAATCAACCATCATGATTATATCATGTTATTTGGTATACGAATTTGGTATACTACTTTTGTAACTATAATTTTACTTGTTTGTTTAATAATATCGACGGATGTGTGGAAACCAACGTGAGAATGAGACACATTAATGGGTGTATAACAGAAAAAGACTTTAATATCTCTTGTCTTATTATACTTCATTTTCTTATTTTATTTCATTAAATTTTTGTTTTTAAGTATGGATACACCATTTTTTTTATTTCATGATGCGGTATCCTACATGGCATATGCCACCTTAGCTGGTTATTGTTTGGTTTGCAAATTTAGGACAGATGAATTTTGGAAGGAGATTTGAATTTGCAGAAGTCTAGGTCCGTTTGGTTTAATATTTTTCACTATTCTACTTATACTATTTCCAAAATACCAATTTATTTTCCTAAAAATGTTATTATATTTTATTCAACTATTTTTAAATTCCTTAAGTTTATTAATTTGACTAAACATTCATCGAAAAAAATTTAGAAATTGACAAAAACATCCTTATAACCCACATTTGTCAGATTCCGATCAACACCACAAAAAGGTAGCCAAAATCTAGTATAATGGCGTACTATCGATTGGATCTGACCGGTAATACGTCAATATATCATTTTTCGGCTAGATCCACAGTGGATCTGATCGAAAAAGGCCAGATCAACAACAAAAGATCTGACCACCGAAAAAACACTGTTCTGATACATGAACAAATTGCATTTGAGAGAAGAGAATTTTTTTTATTCAGCTTAAAGGGATCCGTTTACCAGAAGAACAACTTATATATATATATATACAAGTAACCATAATTAGTCAATCACATTTAATTAACCATAACAACTAACTAACTATTTAACCAATTAACTAAACCACTTAACTAACTAACTGACAGATTAACTAGCTAACTAAACTAATTAATTGATTATACTAATAATCCAATAGTCATGCTAGTACAAAACATGTCGAGGAAAAACCCGGCAAGTCAAGGTGAGTCATGGGAGGCTAACTCGGAGTGAACTAGCTTAGAGACTGCTTCTTTGACGAGGAGTTTACGATGTTCAATGAATGAAGTGAAGAAGCTTCTGGGTCGAATCCTTGAATGTCATCGCTTGGGAGATGAACGAAGTTGATGCGGTTGCTAACAGAGAGTGAGTTTAGATAGGTGTTAACTTTGGAGTCAGACCGTGATGGAGATGCGTTGGTGGCGGTGGATGAGGAGCTTGGCCAGCTCCACAGTGGAGCCGAGGTGGCCTACGCCTGGTGTAGGGATGAAGACGAGGTTGGCTTTCTTGTTCATTGAAGCTGGTTATTGTGTTTTTGAGTTTTGAGAGTAAAATTCAATGAAAGTTAATGGATTTTAAATAGAAATTAATTGAAGTAAAACCATTTATGTAAACAAGACAATAAGTCAGTGATGATGTAAATACTTTGCTAATAAGGAGAAGACATGTATGTGTTCAAATAACTGGAAATTGAAAAGTAGCTGAGTATTACTTTTTAGACTCTAACGAATCTAACCTTACTTTAGTGATTTATGTTCAAATATTTCAGACAAAGATGTCTTGTGAACCTCCGTTAGAGCATGACATCGACCAACATATTGAAAACAAGAAACCAAGAGAATCCATCCAAATTATGCCAATGTCAAATCTTGAACATCAATAGTTTTATAATTTTATGACAAAGTAAAATTAAGATTGCACTTGTGGAGTCCATTCGATTACTTTTCCAATCTTAACTGTTCGATCGAGAAATTCTTTTGGCAGCACGTCCGTTGGATTTGTGTAGTCACCCGGTATGGCGAACTGACCCTTTGGTGGAGGTTGACGTAGGGACCATAAGAACCGATGCCCACTCTGCTCGAGTGCACAAGCAATCTCTTTCACCTGATCCTTATCGAAACTTCCCATGCTCCCAAAGCATAGGAACACAACCGACGATGGTGGCTGATCATCAAGCCACTCCATGATTTCTGCTTTTATTTTGGACCCACCTGACCCTAAATCAATGCTATCACCCGCAAGATTCAAAATGAGTCCTATAGAATAAACACGTGGGATGTTGGTTTCACCATTTGAGAAAGACTTTATCATATTAGACTCCAGCTCCATGAATGAATTTACAACAATACCCTTAACCCTTCAGAACCTCCTTGCTTGCTCAAACACTATCATAGACCAATCTTTCTCCAAGTACGCAAAAGGCAAAACCTTGTTTTGAAGGAAGAGAAAACAAGGTTGGAACTTGGAACTTATAATGTCTGGTTGAAGGTCAACTGCTGTAGCTCCTTCAATCTCCTAGGTTTAATTCATATGGTCCGCAGAGGAACATTGGTGCAAACTAGCAAATGGCGTCAATTCACCTGGCCACTCCATGATCATGCTGCTTGATTGCAGATGAGTATGTGCTAGAGGGAGAATATGGTCTTTTTGAGTTCTGCAATCCATGTAACATTTGTGCCTGTCACAATTATAATTGATATTCTCAAAAAAAAAAAAAGGGAAAATGAAATTACAAAATTTTGAATTAATTGATTCTTGTGAACATCCGTTAGAGCATCACATCGACCAACATATCGAAAACTCGTTCCAAGGAGAATGAAGCAAAAACAAAAGAACATAAAAAATCCAAAGTAAGCATTTTCTTCTTAACTTAATGAATGTAAAATCTTATATATCAATAGAAAATGGCTTTAAACTTTTGCTCGGGTTTTATTTGTTTAAAACTTATTCCCATCTAAGACAAAATTAGTTCAAATTTCCATTTCAATCATCCATTATTCAAGCATAAGGTCCAAACTCTCCATATTACTAATCTATCTACCTGAAATGATTTCATATGTTGAGATATAAAAAGATGTCTTAACTATCAGCTTAAAGAGAATCCTAACAGTTTCAAAAATAAAGTATCGAAAATTTAAATAATAGAAACTATATAACAATTTTACATACAAAAACTTCTCAGATGAATTTTAAACCAATCTTCATTTTCTTCTTTGTGTTCACCCAAAAGACAGATTCTACGACAAAAATTTAGGTATGGTCACTTTACTAAGTCAATGAAGAAGATGCTTTGATCACAGTAGAGGATAGAACATAAGAAGATATCCATAACTAAGAAGCAATGAGAAAACAGCCACTGCAATTGAAAAAGTGTGAAAGATCCAATAAAGAAATTCATGCACCATATATATAAAGTCCCGTTGCTGCTGAGCATAGAGTGATATAATTTTTTTAAAGGTTAAATTTTTACCATCATGCTAGAATGAGAGTTTTTCTGTATTTTACCTGATCAATGAGATAAAGCCTGATTAAATAAAGTTGAGCAGCTTATCCACTTTACTCTAATTTAGTCTCCATTGCTTAACTTAACCACTAAAGATCATGCAAACATCCAGATAATTGCATCATGCTAAACACTGAGCTGCTCAACTGAGCAAGTTGAGCATTGATCGAAATTGTCAGTCTTGACAAAAGACCAAAATTTAGACCTACCATCATGTTGTATCCACAATAATTAAATGACCAACTACTGGCCTTTCAACAACCAACATTTTTGCAGCTAGTTGTCTTCACTAAACATGGTTTTCATTCTCCCATTTTCAAAGTCCATAATGAATATTCCAATTCATTCATTAAACTGCGAGATGGCATCTAGATTAGAGCTTCGGTTGGCCCTATAACCAGCATTTTTCATTTCCATGGCTAATCCTTCCAACTTCTCATATATCTCATCACTTTGCGGATGCTCTTGATCCTTAGACGCGAAACGGTTCACATAACCTCTAGTATCAATCCAAGAACATCCAACTTCTTTTCTCAACCCTCTTTCTCTCATCTCTTTCCTTACTTTGTCAACATTTTCCCAGTTTCCTTCTTCTGCATAGATATTTGAGAGCAAAACATGATAGCTCGTCATTTTTTTCTTGTATCTAATTCAAGCAACTTCTTGGCAACAACTTCTCCCAATCAGATTTTCCATGAAGTCTGCAAGCACCAAGAAACAACATCCCGTTCCAGCATATTATCAAAAACTTTAAATGATGTAAGGACAAAGCCGCATCTTGAATACATGACAATAATTGCATTCAATACAATAACTAGCAATGTTGCCAAATTCTTAATTATATAGGCATGCAACTGTTAAGCTAAGTCCAATCGCTGCAACTGTGAAACTGCAGTTAAGACCGATAAAAAAAGTCACCTCATCAAAATCAATTTCTTCTGATAACATAGCTTCAATGAAAAGCACAATACCTCAAACATGTATTTAAATATATTTATTATTGAATGAAAAGTTGATAAAATTAAAGAGTATATTATTAGCTGCATTAGCTCATTTCATACAAGTTTGGTATTATAAATACATTACATTAAATAATACAATGGTTTTAGTAAACCAACAACAGCCTTTAGACAGGCCAAGAAAAACTAGTAACACAACCCAAGAGCAGCAGCTGAAAAAACCCAGACGCAGCACCTCAAAAACACAACGGGGAGGCCAGAAATAGTCTTCACACCAGCTCACAGTCTGCAGCAAACAAGACACCAGAACAGCCAGCAAGAAACCATCCGCCAAGGCCTTACGCCAGCAAAAAACAGAACAAACAGCCAGGAAAAAACTGTCAAAAACCCAACAGCCCAGAAGAAGAACCTACAGCAGGCATGATCACCCAAAAAACCCACTATACCAACAAACAACATGGGGCAAGGACAGCAGCTAAAAAAATCCGAACTCAAAATGACCACAACACTCAAAAAACTGCCTCCAACTGCCACGAAAGGAACCCACAACATCCCAATGCAAACACAAACAAAGACACACCCAGAGAACATGCACAACACAACAGAGCGCCCAACCAACCAAAAACCAACGGAGAGGAAATCAAAGCCAAAGAGATCCTCTTGAAAAATAAATTAACAACATCGGGCAAGGACAACAGCTAAAAAAATCCAAACTCAAAATGACCACAACACTCCAAAAACTGCCTCCAACTGCCACGAAAGGAACCCCCAACATCCCAAGGCAAACACAAACAAAAACACGCCCAGAGAACATGCACAACACAACAGAGCGCCCAACCAACCAAAAACCAACGGAGAGGAAATCAAAGCCAAAGAGATCCTCTTGAAAAATAAATTAACAAAGAAGCAATGAAAGTAAGATTTAGATTAAGTAATTAGGTGGAGCCGGCAGGACCTGATTGGAATTTGGGGTCTTAATCCTCAATTAGAATAAAAACAATATTGTAATAACCAACACACAGACCCAGTCTCCCCGTAAGGTTGAAGAAAATGTCAATCATTACCTTTCTTGAATCATAATCTCATACGGAGACGGGCCCCATAATTACAAGAAGTCGATACATTCAAGAGATAAGAGCAACAAATTAAGACAAACAGAAGCTAATTTGTTTTTTCTCCCATTCCAATGAAATTTTCAAGTTCATGTACATATTATTATATAATTCATTGTAGCTATCTGCAGTTTAAGGTAAAGATTGAGGCTTCATGTTACCTGAGCAAGCGGCGGCCGGTGGAGACTGGAGAAGCGGCAGTCGGTGGAGACTGGAGGAGCTTTAACTGAGAGTGAATGAGTGAGTGACTGTGAGATGAGTGTTAAAGAGACGAGAGTGAATGCGAGTTATGAAACAGAGGATGTGATTAAAGGGTTCAAAAGATACACATACCTTGGATGAGCAAGACGTGGAGTTGCGTTTGTGGCTCTGAGATTGGAGATGCGGTGATGGTGGAGACTGTAGACGTGGCTCTGGAGAGTGCAGACTGGAGAAGCGGCGATGGTGGAGTTGCGTGGGTAGCGGCGACGGTTACGGTGGATTTGCTCGAGTGAGTTTGAGAGACGAGAGTGAGTGAGTGTGAGAGAGGAGATGAGGGAGGGATTTCAATTCAAAAGACAAACCGAGACCCGCGCGTGTACCCGTCTCACTTGCTTTCAAAACGGTCGGACCGGGTATGGGTCTAATGTCATGGACTTATACCCTATTATTTACCTAGGTATGGGTCGAACCGGTGGATCTGAATCTCTTTTGCCAAATCTAAGTGATATTAGAGGTACAAAGTGATGTGATAGAAAATAAATAGATGAGTAGATATAAAAAGTTAAACTTATCATATTCACTATTTTATTCATATCACTTTATACAGACATCTTTCTATTCATTCCCTATCACATTACTTCGTATAAACATCTTTTTAAAATTCTTCATACTTTTAGCATTAGTGATTTGAAAAACTACAATAGATAATTATTAGAGAATTACCGTGACAAACTACAAACCAAATTCAGAAAAAGGATTCTTTACACGGTAGAAACATCTACAATGGAGAATTAAAGTAAACTAACAATCCAAATGTTGATAATAGTTGAAAAAAATCAACTAAAAATAAAATTTGACCAAATGGGTTTTTTTGGGATGAAACAAAACACTCTGCTAATCTTTAATTCTTTATCATCCAATCTAAAAATGATTCGATCATCAATCTCAGAACCTTAACCTTCTTTACGAATATTTCTATAATTATCCCACTCATTACAGTCAAGATTATGATATTTATTAGTGAAGTGTACGCAATCAGAACATCTTGAACAATTTCTACTCACAAAAAGAATTTGATCCCCCAAACTCTCTAACTCCCTAGGTCATTTAATAGTAAAAGCATACAAGTTTTCTCATGAGAATTTCCTAAAAATATCAAATTTAGATCACGTTTGTTGGCATCAGGGACAACGGTTTAATTCCATCCGTTAATACTACAAGATAAATTTAGTCTACCGATAATTGATATTTGTAAATAAAGCCTATATTTTTTCCACGTTTAAGAATTTTTGAGGTAAAATAAACAAAGAAATTGAAAACCTTTTATAATATATAGAATCAGATTTTGTTATTTATTAATACCATTAAAATAACAAAATTATGTGTAGGTTATTTTACAATATTTGAGTTGATCAATATCAAAAAGCTTTTTATATTTTTGGAATTAAACAACTCACAAAGATTACCCTTTTTTTTCTTCATGTTTTGCTAATTGTGTTGAAATGACTTTTATGCCCCTACACCGTCTAACACCCTAACTCCATTATCTGACAGGGGTAACAGTACCACGTTCCGAAAATACTAGATGAAAATTGTATTTCCTGAAATACAACCCCTTCCTCAACTTCAATGCTTCTTCGCCAACGCCTCACAACTCTCAATCGCCATCTCTCCACTTCCTCTTCATCCACCAAAATCCCACTTCTCTACACGCACACAAATGAAAAACCAAAACGACCCCGTCACTCTCCAATGGAAAGTGCTTGGTTTTGGGCATGAAAATGCTGTGTTTGTGCCTAGATTGAACCCTTATTTGGGTGATGATCTTGTTCAGTGTGTTGCTCTTGGTGGAGTTCACTCTGTTGCTTTGACTTCACTTGGGAAGATTTTCGCTTGGTCAGTGAGTAATTAACAACTTTACATTCATTATTTGTTCATTGATTGAGTGTTTGTTTGGTGTGAAGGTTTAAACATCTTTTGCTTAGGCGTCATTTAGCAAGCTTATATAGTTATTGTAAGTGTATGTATGTTGAGTAATCAAAGGTTAAAAAGTGTCCTTTTTTTTTTTTTTTTTTTTTTTAAGAAGTAAATTAGCAAAATCACTTTTATTTATGATTGCAACGAGATGTTGTTTTATTTGGAGTCATGAATCTTGCAGGGGTAATGATGGTCTTGTGCTTGATTGGATAAATATCAGGAGAAGAGAGTTGTTGCACATATTCATCACATTGTTTTGTTCACTTTCGTGTTTTTAGCCTGATAATAAATGGCCTATCATTAAAAGTTTGCAGGGGTTATGGTGGTTTTAGCGTACTTGGACATTCTGTCTATCATAGAGAGTTGTTTCCTAGATTGGTGGAAGGTTCTTGGAATGGGAAAATACGGCACATTGCAACCAGTGGGACACATATGGCTGCAATAACTGAATCAGGTTGTTCGTCTTAACTGACCCTGTATTTTGTATGGAAATTCCTTTACATGTATATAGTAGTGGGTTTGCATTTTAGATAGAGGCTGTTAACCTGGACTAAATTTATATGAGTTTTGATTTGCGACCTCTGGAAACTGCCCTCTTGACCTCATAATGTGGAAAACATATCAATCTAGTACTGCAGAACAAATTGAATGGAACATATTTCAAATGTCTGTAGGTTTATGTATTCTAGCATTTATGGGTTTCTAGTTGTTCTTTATGAGAAGATGATTCATATTGCCTTCATATTAATTACGGAAAGAATAAAGAAAGAGGGATGTCAAATATCTTAATCCATCTATTATTGAATATGGGGGAACTTTGCACTTGGAGTCAAGATGAAGGAGATGGAAGATTGGGCCTTGGTCCTGGTTGAGGCCCCAATGAGGGAGGTGGGCTTAGTATCCCTTCTAAGGTCAAAGCATTACCTGTACCTATGGCTGATGTTTCTTGTGGTGGCTTGTTTACAACAGTGCTGACAGAGGAAGGGCAACTTTGGAATTGGGGAGGTAAAGATATCAACTCTTTTGTCTTATTTTCTCTCCTTATCTCTACCCAATTGCAGTTTAGTTATTTTCATTTATTTGTTTGGAAAAGTTGCACAGTTCTGGATATCACTCTCTTAAGTTCTCAACTTTGATGAAATTTCATTTATCTCTGCTTCTCTAACATTATAATGACATCATATTACACATTGTCATGTGCTCTGCTCAGCAAGTTCTAACTATGAGCTTGGAAGAGGTGATAAGGTTGGTGGTTGGAGACCTAAGCCAATTCCTAGCCTTGAAGATGTTCGTATCATTCAGATAGCAAGTGGTGGCTGTCACTCCCTTGCATTAACTGGTAAAATAATTGCTTAAATTCACGATTGCCACAGCAACGTTATTAAATCCATTCCTCACTTGTCACCCCTTCCTTCCCATTTTAGGCTGTATACTAATATTGGTTTTCATTTTTTATGTATAATTTCAGATGAAGGCAAAGTTCTTTCTTGGGGATATGGTGGACATGGTCAGTTGGGTCATTCTTCAACCGAAAATCAGAAAGTACCTGTGGTGATNCTCAGAAAGTTTTAACTATGAGCTTGGAAGAGGTGATAAGGTTGGTGGTTGGAGACCCAAGCCAATTCCTAGCCTTGAAGATGTTCGTATCATTCAGATAGCAAGTGGTGGCTGTCACTCCCTTGCATTAACTAGTAAAATAATTCCTTAAATTCACGATTGCCACAACAACCTTATTAAATCCATTCCTCACTTGTCACCCCCTCGTTCCCATTCTAGGCTATATACTAATATTGGTTTTCTTTTTTTAAGTATAATTTCAGATGAAGGCAAAGTTCTTTCTTGGGGATATGGTGGACATGGTCAGTTAGGTCATTCTTCAACCGAAAATCAGAAAGTACCTGTGGTGATCGAGGCTTTAGCTGATGAGCGTGTAGTATACTTCTCTTGTGGGGGCTCATCGTCAGCAGCCATAACACGTAAGAAGAGTTAAATGGTCTTTGATATTTCCATCACCCTTCAATCCTACAATCTTCCAACGTATCTATAGTTATCCGATCTCATAATAACACATAAATGAGGTTTGAGGATATCTTTTAGTATTCAACTAAGTTGAAAGATACTTAAATTTAATAAAATCAAATATTTGGATATCATTATAGAACAATAATTTTATATGCAAAACAAATAAATAAAGCTCATGATTATATATTTGTTTTTACCATAATGTTTGATAATTTGCTATATATTCAGATAAAGGGAAGTTGTACATGTGGGGAAATGCCAAAGAGTCTCAATTGGGAGTTCCTGGGTTGCCAGAGGTACAACTGTGCTTATTGAAGTCAATTGGGACCCCACAAGGTGTTATCTATTGCAGTTGGTGCATCTCATGCCATATGTTTGGTTTCCAGGTCATGTTGTTACAATGGTCTACTAATCAAAAGGTTTTCTCAACTCATATAGACACAACAAACAAGTATGTATCGTTTAATAGCTCAAACAGAGGCTAGAACAGATGTGTAGAATCTGAGGATAGGATAAGTTCTTTAAGTTACTAAAATATTGCCAAAGCATTTAGGAGGTGAATTCAGATTGTTGACTGGTTAGTCAATAAGTGGAGCTTCACCTTGACAATGGCTGACTCATAAATGCTTTTGTTTGATTCCCTTTAATGAATTAAATTATCTGGGAAGACTAGAGAATTTTGACATTATAAGCTCTTGTCAGAAATGCAAGTTACCTTCCAAATCTCATGTAATGCCTGTTGTTCCTGTTAAATTTTACCATCATGCTAGAATGAGAGTTTTTTCGTATTTTACCTGATCAATGAGATAAAGCCTGATTAAATAAAGTTGACACTTATCCACTTTACTCTAATTTAGTCTCCATTGCTTAACTTAACCACTAAAGATCATGCAAACATCCAGATAATTGCTCATGCTAAACACTGAGCTGCTCAACTGAGCAAGTTAGCATTGATCGAAATTGTCAGTCTTGACAGAGGACCACAATTTAGACCTACCATCATGTTGTATCCCAAATAATTAAATGCCAACTACTGCCTTTCAACAACCAACATTTTTGCAGCTAGTTGTCTTCACTAAACATGGTTTTCATTCTCCCATTTTCAAGTCCAATGAATATTCCAATTCATTCATTAAACTGCGAGATGGCATCTAGATTAGAGCTCGGTTGGCCCTATAACCGCATTTTTCATTTCCATGTCTAATCCTTCCAACTTCTCATATATCTCATCACTTGCGGATGCTCTTGATCCTTAGACGCGAAACGGTTCACAAACCTCTAGTACAATCAAGAACATCCAACTTCTTTTCTCAACCTCTTTCTCTCATCTCTTTCCTTACTTGTCAACATTTTCCCAGTTTCCTTCTTCTGCATAGATATTTGAGAGCAAACATGATAGCTCGTCATTTTTTTCTTGTATCTAATTCAAGCAACTTCTTGGCAACACTTCTCCCAATCAGATTTTCCAGAAGTCTGCAAGCACCAAGAAACAACATCCCGTTCCAGCATATTATCAAAAACTTTAATGATGTAAGGACAAAGCCGCATCTTGAATACATGACAATAATTGCATTCAATACAATATAGCAATGTTCCAAATTCTTAATTATATAGGCATGCAACTGTTAAGCTAAGTCCAATCGCTGCAACTGTGAAACTGCAGTTAAGACGATAAAAAAAGTCACCTCATCAAAATCAATTTCTTCTGATACATAGCTCAATGAAAAGCACATACCTCAAACATGTATTTAAATATATTTATTATTGAATGAAAAGTTGAAGATTAAAGAGTATATTATTAGCTGCATTGGCTCATTTCATACAAGTTTGGTATATAAATAACTTACATTAAATAATACAATGGTTTTAGTAAACCAACAACAGCCTTAGACAGGCCAAGAAAAACTAGTAACACACCCAGAGCAGCACTGAAAAAACCCAGACGCAGCACCTCAAAACACAACGGGGAGGCCAGAAATAGTCTTCACACCAGCTCACAGTCTGCAGCAAACAACACCAGAACAGCCAGCAAGAAACCATCCGCCAAGGCCTTACGCCAGCAAAAACAAACAAACAGCCAGGAAAAAACTGTCAAAAACCCAACCCCAGAAGAAGAACCTACAGCAGGCATGATCACCCAAAAACCCACTATACAACAAACAACTGGGGCAAGGACAGCAGCTAAAAAAATCCGAACTCAAAATACCACAACACTCAAAAAAACTGCCTCCAACTGCCACGAAAGGAACCCACAACATCCCAATGCAAACACAAACAAAGACACACCACGAGAACATGCCAACACAACAGAGCGCCCAACCAACCAAAAACCAACGGAGAGGAATCAAAGCCAAAGAGATCCTCTTGAAAAATAAATTAACAACATCGGGCAAGGACAACAGCTAAAAAAATCCAAACTCAAAGACCACAACACTCCAAAAACTGCCTCCAACTGCCACGAAAGGAACCCCCAACACTCACGCAAACACACAAACAAAACACGCCCAGAGAACATGCACAACACAACAGAGCGCCCAACCCCAAAAACCAACGGAGAGAAATCAAAGCCAAAGAGATCCCCTTGAAAAATAAATTAACAAAGAAGCAATGAAAGTAAGATTTAGATTAAGTAATTAGGTGGAGCCGGCAGGACCTGATTGGATTTGGGTCTTAATCCTCAATTAGAATAAAAACAATATTGTAATAACCAACACACAACCCAGTCTCCCCGTAAGGTTGAAGAAAATGTCAATCATTACCTTTCTTGAATCATAATCTCATACAGACGGCCCCATAATTACAAGAAGTCGATACATTCAAGAGATAAGAGCACAAATTAAGACAAACAAAGCTAATTTGTTTTTTCTCCCATTCCAATGAAATTTTCAAGTTCATGTACATATTATTATATAATTCATTGTAGCTATCTGCATTTAAGTAAAGATTGAGGCTTCATGTTACCTGAGCAAGCGGCGGCCGTTGGAGACTGGAGAAGCGGCAGTCGGTGGAGACTGGAGGAGCTTTAACTGAGAGTGAATGAGTGAGTGACTGTGAGATATTGTAAAAGAACGAGAGTGAATGCGAGTTGAAACAGAGGATGTGATTAAAGGGTTCAAAAATATACACATACCTTGGATGAGCAAGACGTGGAGTTGTTTGTGGCTCTGAGATTGGAGATGCGGTGATGGTGGAGACTGTAGACGTGGCTCTGGAGAGTGCAGACTGGAGAAGCGGCGATGGTGGAGTTGCGTGGGTAGCGGCGACGGTTCGGTGGATTGCTCGAGTGAGTTTGGAGAGACGAGTGAGTGAGTGTGGGAGGAGATGAGGGGGATTTCAATTCAAAGACAAACCGAGACCCGCGCGTGTACCCGTCTCACTGCTTTCAAAACGGTCGACCGGTATGGGTCTAATCATGGACTTACCCTATTATTCCTAGGTATGGGTCGAACCGGTGGACTGAATCTCTTTTGCCAAATCTAAGTGATATTAGAGGTACAAAGTGATGTGATGAAAATAAATAGATGATAGATATAAAAGTTAAACTTATCATATCACTATTTTATTCATATCACTTTATACAGACATCTTTCTATTCATTCCCTATCCATTACTTCGTATAAACATCTTTTTAAAATTCTTCATACTTTTGCATTAGTGATTTGAAAAACTACAATAGATAATATTAGAGAATTACCGTGACAAACTACAAACCAAATTCAGAAAAAGGATTCTTTACACGGTAGAAACATCTACAATGGAGAATTAAAGTAAACTAACAATCCAATGTTATAATAGTTGAAAAAATTCAACTAAAAATAAATTTGACCAAAGGGTTTTTTTGGATGAAACAAAACACTCTGCTGCTAATCTTTAATTCTTTATCATCCCTCTAAAAATGATTCGATCATCAATCTCAGAACCTTAACCTTCTTTACGAATATTTCTATAATATCCCACTCATTACAGTCAAGATTATGATATTATTAGTGAAGTGTACGCAATCAGAACATCTTGACAATTTCTACTCACAAAAAGAATTTGATCCCCCAAACTCTCTACTCCCAGGTCATTTAATATAAAAGCATACAAGTTTCTCATGAGAATTTCCTGAAAATATCAAATTTAGATCACGTTTGTTGCATCAGGGCAACGGTTTAATTCCATCCGTTAATACTACAAGATAAATTAGTCTACCGTAATTGATATTTGTAAATGAAGTCTATATTTTATCCACGTTTAAGAATTTTTGAGTAAATAAACAAAGAAATTGAAAACCTTTATAATATATAGAATCAGTTTTGTTATTTTATTATACCATTAAAATAACAATTATGGTAGGTTATTTTACAATATGAGTTGATCAATTCAAAAGCTTTTTATATTTTTGGAATTACAACTCACAAGATACCTTTTTTTTCTTCATGTTTTGCTAATTGTGTTGAAATGACTTTTATGCCCCTACACCGTCTAACACCCTAACTCCATTATCTGACAGGGTACATACCACGTTCCGAAAATACTGATGAAATTGTATTTCCTGAAATACAACCCTTCCTCAACTTCAATGCTTCTCGCCAACGCCTCACAACTCTCAATCGCCATCTCTCCACTTCCTCTTCATCCACCAAAATCCCACTTCTCTACACGCACACAAATGAAAAACCAAAACGACCCCGTCACTCTCCAATGGAAGTGCTTGGTTTTGGGCATGAAAATGCTGTGTTTGTGCCTAGATTGAACCCTTATGTGGTGATGATCTTGTTCATTGTGTTGCTCTTGGTGGAGTTCACATCTGTTGCTTTGACTTCACTTGGGAAGATTTTCGCTTGGTCAGTGAGTAATTAACAACTTTACATTCATTATTTGTTCATTGATTGAGTGTTTGTTTGGTGTGAGGTTTAAACATCTTTTGCTTAGGCGTCATTTAGCAAGCTTATATAGTTATTGTAAGTGTATGTATTTGAGTAATCAAAGGTTAAAAAGTGTCCTTTTTTTTTTTTTTTTTTTTTTTAAGAAGTAAATTAGCAAAATCACTTTTATTTATGATTGCAACGAGATGTTGTTTTATTTGGAGTCATGAATTCTTGCAGGGGTAATGATGGTCTTGTGCTTGATTGGATAAATATCAGGAGAAGAGAGTTGTATGCACATATTCATCACATTGTTTTGTTCACTTTCGTGTTTTTAGCCTGATAATAAATGGCTCTATCATTACAAAAAAAAAGGGAAAATGAAATTACAAAATTTTGAATTAATTGATTCTTGTGAACATCCATTAGAGCATCACATCGACCAACATATCAAAAACTCGTTCCAAGGCAAATGAAGCAAAAACAAAAGACCATAAAAAATCCAAAGTAGGCATTTTCTTCTTAGCTTAATGAATGTAAAATCTTATATATCAATTGGAAATGGCTTTAAACTTTTGCTCGGGTTTTATTTGTTTAAAACTTATTCCCATCTAAGACAAAATTAGTTCAAATTTCCATTTCAATCATCCATTATTCAAGCATAAGGTCCAAACTCTCCATATTACCAATCTATCTACCTGAAATGATTTTGTATGTTGAGATATAAAAAAATATCTAAACTACCAGTTTAAAGAGAATCCTAACAGTTTCAAGAACAAAGTATCGAAAATTTAAATAATAGAAACTATATAACAATTTTACATACAAAAACTTCTTAGATGAATTTTAAACCAATCTTTTATTTTCTTCTTTGTATTCACCCAAAAGAC